GGTGGTGAGACACTGGAGCAGGTTGCCCAAGGAAGCTGTGCCCCATCCCTGGAGGTGTTCAAGGCCAGGCTGGATGAGGCTTTGAGCAACCTGGTCTACTAGAAGGTGTACCTGCCCGTGGCAGGGGGGTTGGAACTCAATTATCTTTAAGGTCCTTTCCAACCCAAACCATTCTATGAGTCTATGATTCTATAACATGAGGGTCATGGTTTAAATGCAGCCAGCAACTTCAGATACTACACAGCTGCTCACTCACTCCCCAACCTGGGTGGGGTGGGGGGAGAACTGGAAAGGTAAAAGTGAAAAACAAACTCATGGGTAGAGATAAAACCAGTTTCATAATTAAAAAAAAATAATAAATGCAAGGATAAGAGGAAAAAAAACAAAATTGAAGAGAGAGGAAAATAAACCCCAGGAAGGACAAGTGATGCAAATGAAAACATTTGCTCACCACCAACCAAACAATGCCCAGCCCATCCCTGAGCTGCAACCCCCAAATCAGCCTCCTCCCAGTTTTACTGCTGGGCATGACATCATCTGGTATGGAATATTTCTTTGATCAGTTGGGGTCAGTTGTCCAAACTGTGTCCCCTCACAACTTTCTGTGCATCCCCAGCCCACTCGCTGGCAGGGCAGACTGAGGGGCAGAAAAGGCCTTGACTCAGTGTAAGCACTGCTCAGCAGTAACTACAACGTGTGTGTTATCAACACTATTTTCAGCACAAATCCAAAACATAGCCCCATAGTAGTTACTTATGAAGAAAATTAATTCTATTCCAGCCAAAACCAGTATACAAGTAAGGTTCTGCACCTATCCACAATGCAGAGCTATCTTTAAACATTGGCTGCATGTCCCAACTCAAATTTGGTGCTTTAGCAGGTGAGTTATTAGCACACTAATGAGATATTTGAAACAGTCAAACATAACTACTTAATTTCTTCTTCAGTCCTGCATATCATTTTTCTTTCATGCATATTCTAGACTGATGTTACCAAGGGTGTCCCATTTGCCAATGAGAGTAATGTAAGCATATTACATCAAGTCTTTTGGAAGCAGCAGGGTGCTTTTTTTTAACAGAGCACAAACTGCTCACATGCTAGCAACCCAGCTATCTCAGGGAAATCTTAAGATTGTAGAAATAGAGTTTTAAAAAATACTTAGAGAATTGTGCACTGTAGCTGTTGTCTTCAAGAGAAGCATCATGCAATGACCTTTCAAACTTTTTATATATAACAAAAATGAAAATATTATTACTTGCTTAAGGTTGAATTACATTGAGAAGCACCTGTTTCAAGCACAAGAAACTAAAATTAAAATATTTTATCATTTTGTATCATTTCAGAGGCTTAAGAAATTAGAAAATTTTGATTCACATAATCATATAAGCATTTCATAGAAGCCTAGTTTTTACCATGTATTTGTTAGAAAAAATTGCTTAATTTTATAAAAATTTACTTTTAAATTAAAGCAGCAGATTATTTTGCATTCTCTTTTCCCAAATTGCCATGCAGCTCAGTAGCCTGTTGCACTGCCTCTTAGTTCCTGCAACAGCATAGCTTCCTACTGCAACTTAAACAGATTTTAGATCCCTTGTAAAAGAGTGTAGAGTTCACAGAAATGTACTATCTTAAAAAATAGTTCCTCCTCCAATTTAATGTAAAAATTTCCACATGAAATTCATGCTGAAATTTCAGGTAAGTCATTACTACATTGATTTTTCTACACATAGACTACACACCACCTTAAAAATAGCAGCAAACTATCTTCTGGAGAGATTCAGGGAGTGGCATTTCAAGACAGCTACAAAGACTATAGAAGTCACAGCTACCAGTATCACAAAATCCCCAAACCAGGAAGCACTAATGAAAAAGCCTAGCAGCTGTTCTTACAGTCCAGCTTCTATACTTTTTTTTTTAGGCACTAGCCATAGTCACAGTCAATGGAATTCAGTTAGGATTCCAGCTGTATGATCACAGAATGAGTAAAATATTTGCAAAACGGAATTACTGAATTTGTTCAGGCTTTCCACCATAAGGCCTGTGGGAAGAATATAGAAACAACACAGAGAACATAACACACAGACTTAAAAGATTACCTACCTGGATTGCTCCTGCCAGTGGGAATCCCATCCACAGATGAAAAAAATATCAGAGAAAACTGAAACAGGAGGCAACTAGAAAGGAATTATCCATATTGATCTCTTTTGAAACAGTCCTTTATCAACTGAGCTTGAAACATAGTTGAGCTCGACAGCACAGTATTAGGCCCATCTCCATGCTCCCCCTAGATCTAAAGAGTTTGAAATAAGTTTGGTGTGAAGTTACCGATGTTGTGAACGTGGTAAGAAAAAGGATGACAGGATTAATTATGTCACTGTACATCAGATTGTGAAGGAGCCTCTAAAGCAAAGTCTTCTATTTGTATTGATTTAACTCAATCACTTTATTTAAACTGATCCAATTTGTGCATAGACACGGTAGGTAGGTACGTATGTAGAAAATCACAGCAATTATCTAATAAGAGGCATATCTTAATTTTTCCTCTGATGCAGGCTATTGGGTTTCACAAACCATGACGTTTAAGTCTCACCCCTACTTCTGTACTATCGCATACCAAAAACACCTCCCACTTTTTTCTTCTAAGTTTTAAAATACCTATATCATCTATTTATTTTACACAGAGTCCTAAAAAATGCTGGTTTTCAGTGAAAGAAGTGAATCCCAGAGATTTATTTTTAGGAAAAAAGTAAATTATTTTCTAAAGACTGAAAATAACCTCTGAGTTGCATCACACATATTTCAGTAAATCATTGTTTTAACACCTCAGCAGGTGGCAGCACAAAGTTATTAACAATGCTGTATGAATTCTATACTGTATTAAGTAAGTTGTTCTTAAATTTGCAATAAAAACCCCTACTATTAGATAATTATACCAGATGGAAGAGTCAATGAGAAAAATCAGGCTGTCTGTTTATTCCAGTTCTTCAGGATCACTTCAGCTGCATCTAGTGTGCTGTCTTTCTGCAAAACAAATACCACTATTAGTCCAAGTAGGAAGTTCTGGAAAAGAGTGTAGCAGTCATGATAAAATCATCCCAAATCAATATTTGGCAGTTTAACTTGCATCCTGTAAATATCTGTCAGTCAGTTTTTCATTAACAGTTATAGCTAAAAATCTAGACTACACAAAAAATTAAATGCTGATTCCTTGCAAATATTTATTAGGTATATTTAAAAGATAACATTTTCTCAGCATTCATACTATCAAATTTAATGAAAACAATACTTCTTTTATAAATGCCTGGCATTTATGCAGTGATGTACTTGGCAGCTCTATATTAGAGACATGCTAGCATAGTTTCTTAATCTTTATGTGTACAGTTGAGATTTTTAAACCTCCATGCAACCAAGTTATGCTGTAAACTGCTTAAACATAATCCCTCTAACTGTGGGCAATCTATCCACTGTCCAGTTGTGTGGCTTGGCTACAACCTGGTGAGTCATACAAGTAGTTTTTAACTTAACGTGATTAGTGCTGTTCATCCTGGGCAAGCCACATTAAAACCAGCAAGTTTCATCCTGGTTGTTACTTGCTCAGTTTATATCATAGTCTTTATACCTCATCAAAAGAACTAAGTAACTCAAGCAGAAACTCCCCTTCATTACTGGTTCAAACTAAGGTTCTGATCTGTACACTAGAACAGTTAAGGAGTTGCCTATGTTCCATTATGCTGACTCTGTTACAGAACAATTGGGAAACATTTTAGGGCTGCGAGCTTATCAAAGCTTCTGTACCCGTCTCCAAAGTCTTTCAGTCTTTTCAAGAACATATTCATCAGGAGGAAGAATATGTGTAACGGATGTGCTCGCAAAGTGGCAAATGTCACACAATTCACAAAAAACATGTAAAATAACTTCCTGTGTCTTTATTTTTGTTCGTAACCTGGAGCTTGTGTGAAACCCTATGTATTTCCAGGCAAGTGAGCTAAACCTGGTGACCTCACTGTGTTTGTTGTTGGAAACTGAATGGGCATAGGCTATACCACTCTGCTGTACAATTATTCTCTGCTCTGGATTACAAAATTCACCTTAATTGCTCATGTACCTGTGTCATTCATTTGCACTGTCACCACTGGTCAAGAATGGTTTTTAAAAATCACTAGAGTAAGCTAATAAAGGCCTACCCACCCAGTTTTCTGCCAGTTGCCCTTCTTAGCCATGCCACCCACATTTATGGTTTAAAGTCCCTCAGCAAAAATATATTTGAAGCTACTTCGTGCTGAATCTTCATGCTATCTTTCTGTTTCTAAAACTATCCAACTCAGGAGATCTTGGGAAATATGTAACCATCAGTCTCTTGCAGATTTCTGTACCACACTGATTTTAGGAGTCTTAAGTCTTCCCAGGACACAAATTTACCTTAATGAAGCAAAAACGTATATATTTTTCAAACTGCCTCTTTGTCTCAGGAGAACAGAATGCTGAAAGTGGAATTGCTGACAGCTTCTGAAACATAAAACAGAAATATTATTTGCTTATTTTATGTATGTGTAAAAAATCAGGTTTAAGCATGATGATTTTACTGTTCCATTTTTAGAACTCTCCCTCCCAACATGTGAGGGAAAGACAAGGTTCAGTTTTGTATGCACTAGCTAGGTTTAACTAAATTCAAATTACTTCTCTTAGGCAAAACATTTCAAAGGTCCTTTTGTACAACTAGGATTTAAGCATGCTGAAAGAAAAGTGCTGGGATGTAACACAAACCTACAGGGTACGTTTTCATCATACTTAGCAATATTTATCCACATCACTACCAGCAGTTACTATAAACACCAAATAGTATTTTGAATTGAATATCTATGCTACATTATTTAATAAGTCTGGTTGCACTGCTCTTGCTTTCAACAGAAAAGCATTTCTAAAACTGAAGTATGACTAAGACAACTTACCTTAGATGTTATCATCCATTTGACAAATTTATAATCATAAGGTTGTTTCTCATCTACATCAGAGAGATCCACATCTAAAAAAATTAGATATAAAACAAACATAAGATTTCCTAGACTCCACTGGGAAGGCATTCATTACCAGCACTTTATTATAGGCAACACTTAAGAAAAAAGCTGTATGTTTTTATTTTAAAATAGAATTAAAAACACTACTATAACAAAATAGGCCAACAGATTGATCCTTTCCATGCTGACCTGAGCAGTTGCTTTTCATTCAAAGCAAATTCAGACATATAGCTTGGAAGAAAGCCCTGCACTACTCCACGAAGTCCTCAAAGTCTGGGTTATTGAGGGATTAGGACCATGGAGGGTACTGAAGAGTGCATTTATTGCATGGACAGCAATAATCACTGCATCTGCAGTGTTCTCGTCTGTGAAACTGGAGTATCTAAAACTTTCTGACACATGGTAGCACTGCAAGGTCCAGCTGTGTTTAAACCTTTCTTTGTGAATGATGAGTGCCATTAGGACCGGTTAGTATGTAGAATTAGAAAATATTCGCCTGTGGGAATTCTTCCTCCAGAGTTACTGTAACCTGAATTTTCAAAAGGTTTTGTAAATTCTGTTAGCATTTTACAGTGTTTAGAAATCAGAATGCCTCAAAGAGCCCTCAGAGTATGACTTCAGATTAAGAAAAACAAACAAAACTGAAAAGGGAAAGCAAAAAATGGTACAAACTCAGGATGTCAAGCCAAGGGCTTGGCTCAAATTTTTGCATAATCACAGACCTTTTGAAAATAGAAATTTTTATCTACCTCCTTTATCCACCCTAAAACCTTGCAAAACATGGACAGTAGTTAGGATCACAAAGACTTTGCTGAAGCTTATAAAATCTACCTCCCAGGCTACAGTCAAACAGAAATTTCAGTCCCAGTTAGTACTTCTGACCACATTATGCATGAAACGCCTAACATGCAACATGAAATGAGAATATATTTTAAAATTAAAGTTGCATTTTCAGATTAGCTATAATATTTGCTTTCCACACCCTTTTTAATAAACTTTATACTAACTTAATGGAGAAACATCAACAATCATAAAGTATCCTCCATCTGGAATGACAGGCTTTAGTCCAACTTCCTGAAGTAGCTGAGCCATCCGATCCCGCTTGCTTTCCAGCTCTCGAGACAGTGAGTAAAAATAGCAGTCTGGGTCATCCATGCGTTTATAGTCTATCCAAAATGCTTGTGCCAAAGCCTCCTGGAAAAATAATCAGTGTTCAAAGTACTCATGGACACTCAGTGAACTCAAAGACACACACACTTCCTAGCAAAATCACGTACATTTTTCTTCAGTTGTGGCCCTTACTAAGCAAATCAGCATATATGAATTACACAAGCTACATCCAAGTGTGTCATTTGTTTGTTACTTTGTGCTGTGACAACACCCAAAGCACCCAATCATTTGCTAGGCACTAATCATATACAGAAGTCACAGTCCTTGACACAGGGGTTTACAATCTGAATTGAAGCTAAGGTTAAATTATTGATAATAACATATCATAGAATACAAGAAACTAGTAGACGGAGATAATGCTCAGTAAAACAAGACCTTAATGCAACAAATTTTATTTGTATTTGCTAGGAAACCACAAGATTGTCATGTTTTATGCAAGAAGCAGCAGATTGTAGGTGAAAGAAGAAAGAATCTGCAAGACCGATTTTTGATTTTTAAACATCTGGTAAACTGATCAAGTTTGTCTCCTCTTCCTGCATCCCAGAATACACATTTTGACAACCAAACAATCATTGTTGTGATTATCGTTTTATTACAACAAGGCCTACAGTTTTTCTGCACCAGAAAATAACCTCTTCTGCCCCATCTGTACTTACCTGTAATGGAGTTGGGCAAGTATACAGCGTATTTTGGTGAACAACTTGCAAATGCTTAATCAGGTTCTGAGGGCCAATAGCCCAACCAAGCTAAGGGAAGAAAGTATGCATATGTTATACTTACAGTAGTGGTGTTACTAAAAATTAACAAAGAATTAAAATTAGCCACTGTCTCAAGTTTTTCTATTTAAAGAATTGGTGGTGAATTTGTTTTGATACTGAATTAAGAGCTAGTTTACACAAAGTTTGCTAAATGATGCCATTAAAAAAATTCTAGATTTGAGACAACAGTTACAGGTTCACTTATCCCTATCTCTCACAGTGTACTGAGCAAAATTTAACTCTTCATATAACAAGAAATCAAACTAGGAATGTTATTCCTAATTGTTTTAGAACCTTTCCATCTCATAAGCTCCTGTATCAAAGGTGGTTTCAGCATAAAATAAAAGTTCACTACCACTACTGAATCATATATGTTGTGGTTCCATTTGAACACAGGTGATGAAGAAGAAAGAATTTAGTTGCCAAATGGTTAAATGTGTTCGTTTACATTCTGATATATATTTTAAAATCAAGCAAAGTATTATCATTAAATATTTTACAGAAATATAAGCCATTCCAAAACGTACCATTATCACAATCTGAAAATATCACCACAAAACTGGAAAGTTAAAATATGATAATATCCATGTTTTCTCCAAGAATCTTGACTGGTTTTGAACAAATGATACTGTGTTTATTTTTTTAGTCTTGTTTTCTCACAAGAGAGACAAGAAGAGAATTAAAACATGGGTGTTCAAGATAGGCAATTGCTCCAACTGAATGCTATCTTCGTGTTTTGGAGACACAGAGATTTGCCAGAAGCTTTCAAAAGACAGGTCATAAAAAATGGAGATTTTTTTTAGTGTAATAAATTCATTCTGTTATTTAGACAACTGAACTCTTTTGTATTGATTCTTCTTACCTTCCAGCCAGTTACACTATATGTTTTTCCAGCACTTCCTATAGTTATTGTTCTTTCCCACATACCTGGCAACGTAGCTGTATATAAAATAAAATTAATTGGGTACAGGCGCACTCATATATTCCATGTAGTTAGAAAAACCGTACTGCCCCTAGCTCCAAGCTGTATATTGATATATCATTGCAGCATATTAAGCAAGCAATGAAAATACTCTAAAATTATATCAATTGTAACAAGTGAGAAAGGATACATGGGCCAATGCTTTTGGCATGAAAAGAAGGTAAAGGTTAATGAAAGGAGAAAGAAGAGGCAGAAAATGAGAGGCACAATTTGTGAAAACTACATGTTAGTTATTCTCAGCTAAAATGCATAATTATCCATAAGAAAGATATGACGTAAGAAGTGGCTACCCATTCATCTCAAGACAGCATTACTTCTGATGCCTGATAATAGCACCGTATAAAACGTTAACTCAGGCCCTGCAAGCCATTTTAATAGAATTGTCCAGTGCAGTGTCTCTGGCTCTCTCAGACATCAGAAAAAGAGAATTACTAAGACTTCTAACCTGGAACCAAACACCTTAAGAATCAGAAAACCAGCAGAGTAAATAAATTCTGTTTTGTTATATAATTTGAACAGGCCTGGGACTGACTGACAATAGCAGCTAGCTAAGGATGTCTGCAAGGATTAAGGGATGCATGGGGGCCTGTCTCTGTATTTGTATCTGGTAGAGGAGACCAAAATTCTATGTTTCCTTTGCAAGGAAATGACACAGCAAAGGTCTCTTCCTGTAGTTTACAATTTTTTTTTTCTGTACTCTGCTTCAAGGGAGCTCTATTTAGACTTAATTCATTTTCAACAGAAAAAGATAAAGACAAACTTAAGTCTGAGACACAAAGTCAGCCAAGGTCATACAACTACTGTAACTGCAGTGGTCACCAACATCCAGCTCCATCTCATTTACACCCTAGAACCACTACCAGCGAATCTATCAATTGGTAAATGCCCTTTCTAGGGAGACAAACAAACAAAGAAGTTCGACATAAAATCACTGAATTTCATAAGAAAGTTTTTGCAGTAGTTGTCTGCATTAGACACGGTTTAAGTCTTTGCAGTTATTTGAAAACATGTATAGTATTTTTTTTTTGAGCACACTTGCCAAGAAGAGAAACAAAACAGCAATAAATAAATTCATATTTGTATTAGCCCACCCATATTCACTCAACTGCTCTGTGACCTTGAAAACAAAAAAGGCAGTTTGAACAGATGCATTTTCTAGCTAGGTAGGTCAAGAGTATAGATCACCTCCTAAAGGCAACCAAACTAGCTCTCACAGACTGCAAAAATAATTGAATTTCAAAGCTAATGCCCTCTAGTGAGACTGTTTTGTGACACAGTCATAGGAATTCAACCTTGGAGATGGAATGTAACAGCATTCCAAACAATAGCAGCAGCAGACGTGCACAGCGAAAGCAGCAGCTCCATTGCTTTTACAAGCAGCAAGTTTTAAATAGAGGGAAATTCCTCTGTGCCATATGGCAACATCATTATGTAACAACATAACCAAGTCTGACTACAATTCAAAAACTAATGAACTGCAAACTAACACATAAGTCTGTTACCTGGGATGGCACTCAGCTTGTAACTAACTGGCACTAACTGCCCAGGCTTTAACTTGCATTATCGTTACACAATATTTTTACATTTTATGCTAAACTACAGAATTGCTTTTGTTCAATTTGAAACATTTTGTTTTGAAGCATTAAAATTACAATACTGATACTAATGAGCAACAGAGTTACTGTGTCTTGAGAATTCACCACCTGTCCACTAAGACAAAGCCTAACTGACAACATGAGTGTTCGGACCTGCTGCCACTGCAAAGGAAAATGGATTACCTCATACCACCCACAAAGATTTTGGTTCTGAGGATGGCTATTTGCACAAAACACCTGCTAAGCCCATGAAGAAAGCTCTAATTTAACTCATTTTACTTTGCAATTGGGACATGATAAACCGCACATAATTAGTTACTGTGGTAACTTGTTAGGATGCACTGACTCAGATTACTATCACATGAATGTACTCAAAATGTTCCCCTTCTTCCATGTCTGAAGGTCTTTGATAAGGTATCACTATCAAGGCACTGCAACAGACATGAAATTAGGCCACTTTCAAAACAGACTTATAGCCTATGCATGGCTAATACAATCCCTGTACTGCAGCTGTATGATCAGCAACTGAGTAGCTGAGCTAATAAGTATTGCAAGGTCATTTAGATATAATTTCCTTTTTATTATTTATAAGATTTGTTTTTACAATGATGTAGCCCCCACTAATGGGAAGTTTCTTTTATTGCCACTCTACATATATGGAATTGAAGCATAGAAACAACGTTATTCAGCATTCAACCAGTGCTAAAGCCAGGAAAAAAGCTAAGGTTTTTCATGTCTAAGTTATATTTAGGTCTCTTGGTACCACTGTTTAATCTCAACTAGATGTCTCCATCGCACATGACTGAAATGTGCCTTCATTCAATAAGTACATTGTAACAGATAGTTAAGGCAAGATGCTACTACCAGACACAAAACACCTGTACACATAAAGAAGTTTTGGACTTTAGCCAGCTCAAATACATCAGCAGATACAAACCAAGACCACCACACTAGAAACTTCTGCATAAATGCTTAGCTGCAGCTTTACAGGATTGGGGAAGGGGTTCAGTAGCCTGCACTAGATTCACTCATTCTGAGACAGTGGGAGTGATTCCACTGACTTCAGTGAAACTTGGATCAAGAAGTAAAACAAGAGGGACAGGGACATAATATCATATTTGGTTTTCTGATTTGTTCTTGGTGCTTTACCCCAGTAGCAATATTACCTGAAGACTTTAGCATGCTTTCACAGCTGCCCATGCAGCGACTCACTTAACTGAATTCAATGTCCGTTATTTAACACTGTCTCTGCAGTTTGGAGGGATCGTGTTCATACGTTGTCTCTGCACAAACCTTTATATAATTTTTTTTTTCTTTTTTTAAGCAGTGGAGCAAAAATAATTGTGTTCTTCACTATGCATTTCCCTCATTGATTATCTCTATAATGCTTTGAAACATAATCCCTTTTCCTTCAGCAAAGCACAGTCCAATACACACACACGAACAGCAGTTATACTTGTCACGGCCAGCAAAGTAACTGAATAAGGATGGGATATTCAGATGATTATAACTGATTTATTAGTTATAGCATCAGTCCCACCAGTTTCTATGGATATCTGTTCCAAAGTCACAAAAGAGCTTTTAGAAAGCCTATTTGGAAATTATTCCTTAAAATATTTTTCATAAAGCAGAGGGGGTCTCCTCCTTAAGGGTCTAAACATTGAAAAATAGTCAAAACTTGAAGTCTGAGCTCCTTCCAGCAACCGTTATCTCCAAGAGGCATGTTTACAACATCATTCCACAACCACTTCTAAAATGCCACAAAAAATCAGTACCTATTTTAACGTGTTTTTTTCCTTTATACACCAGCCATTCATACACCTCATCACTGATGCACAGGGTATCATGTTTAATACAGAGATCAGCTATTACTTGGAGCTCTTCTCTGGAAAACACCTGGGATACAAGAAAGCAAGGGACAATGCATTAATCATAGTATTTAAGGCACACCTTGAAATGACAGTAGTGTTAAAGCAGGACTCTTACCTTGCCTACAGGATTGTGAGGAGTATTCAGAATAATTGCTTTTGTTTTGGAATTGAATTTATTTGCAAGTTCAACCCAATCAGCGCTAGATGCAGAGCTTCCATCATTTTTCTACAAAACCCCCAAGAAATTAATGCATTACTTAAATACAACATGATACAGCCTAAACAGAGATGCACAACTTATCACCCTCAGACACCTTCATAACCTTACTTGACAACCTGTCCAATCTGTCCTGCTCTCCTGGGAGAAGGCACTTCTAGGAACAGGCAGGGAGGCTAAGAGCAAGGTAAATTATTATGACAGTAGGTCTCCTCTCCTGCCCACTGTCTGTCTCACAGTTTCCTCAGGAACTGGTTTCCGGGACCTGGTTACACACATTCTTATTCTAACAGTGTGTAATGCAGGAAGCCCAGTCACATGACAAGAGAGTTTATGGCCTTCCCAGACACTAGAACAAGTGTGTGCATGCTCGGCTGGAAAGATTGATCACCACCAGAGAGATTCAAGTTCTTTTCTCCTCCTTGTCCATATTATGAAAAACTATACAGAAAATCATTGCTTAGAAGGTGTTAATCAAGCTTTATTGAGTATGGATGAGAAACTTTATATGGTAAGTAATTTTTAAAAAGCTACTCACATATCTCAGTGGGACAAAAACAGGCTTTGCACCCGCCATCTTTACCATTGGTTCATAACAGTCATAAAATGGCTCTATTATTATTACCTGAAATTACAATCATCAGTATCAGAAATGGAGAATTTACCTTGCATGATACCATCATATTTCCAGATTTACTTTGGTAGTATAACTTGGTAATGTTTCTGGCACTCCATCCTGATCTAACATTGCAGAATATTCCTCCTTTTAGCGCATCATATAACAATGCCCTCAGTCTAAGTACGATAAGCACCACTCATTTTTGATAACACACACAGGCTGTTCTTACTACAGTAACATATTACAACTATTAAGATATAATATTAGGAACCTTTGGGTCCTGCATACATATTTGTAGGTGCAAGACAAAGATGCAAAGATGGGAGATAGCAACAGCAAATTATTGAACCACAGCACAGCTGCCTTAATTCCGTCCATGAAATTCCACGATTTCCAAATATCTAGAAATCTCATAAAAACAGCTTAAGTCCTCAGATTTTATCAGAAGAAAATTTTCAGGTAGAAAAAGAGGACAAACTCAAGGAAAACTGCATAAATGCTAGATAATAGGAAAACAAAAAAAAGCCCCAAAGGCTAACAGCAGAGAACTGTTACCAAAAAAGGAAGTTAATATCAAAGCAATAAAAAGGAAGAAAAGATACAGATGAGAATAAATTATACAAGTGAAACTAACAAGGCACTGAAAGCAAAATGCATGATAACACAAAAAGTTCTTGTCCACTACAGATAGAAATACCCCCTGAAAATGACTTTTAGTATCACTGTCAAAAAGGCAGACATCAGTACAGTTGTGGGAAAACAACGGAAGAAGGGCAAGGACGATTGTAAACACACTCAACTGACTTGCAACTGGGGTGGAGAAAAACACATATATCATACTAACTGTTGTTTAGCCTTGTGTTGGAACAGTAGAACATCTGTGTTTAGATAACCTAGGCCTGTGACAGACTTAGAGGCACCCTATTGAACATGCTTGGGATTCCTGCCCTGCTGTGGGAAAGATCAAAGCCCAGTGGTACACTACACCTGCAGGATTCCTTGAAATACAGGCAAAAACAGCAGGTTCGTTGATCCTCTAGCAAGGAGCGAGCCTCTGCGGTGCCTGCGTTCCCACTTGTATGCCTCTGCCCGGGTGCTGCTTCGGGTATCCTCCAGTTCACAAGGTAATGAAAATAAATTTACTCTTTGCATTTCATCCATGGTTTTGTGGTTGTTCCTACATCCTGTCCGTGTCAGCTCTCACAACAGTAAACTAACAATCCTTTCTTTAAAGGGCTTTTCTGCTACCTATGCTGCTACCATGCAATGGTCCAAAACAAAACTTGATACACAATGGTTATTCAAACACAAACAATACTTTGCTCCACCCTTAGTCTTCTGTTGCAGACAACAGCCCAAAAGTTTTCTCAAATAAGAAATCAGTGTGTATTGCATCACCTAACAGTAATACTGATAAACAAACTGCTACAGGTACCATAAGTATGAAAGAAAGGGGTTTGTAAGTTGGTGAATGATAGGAAGATATCCAAAGGATAGTCTCCTGATCACAGCTTCTGAAACTGTAAGTCAGATGTGTAACAAACCAAATTAATGGAAATCAGAAAGAAGCCCCAACATTAATTTGTATTTAAGTGGATGAATAAAAACCAGGCAAATTCTCATTTCAGTGAGTATACATTAATATTTCAAATAAAAACTTACTTCGTCTCCCTCTTCAATTAATGCCTGTATTGTACTAAAGAGAGATCCATAAGCTCCCACGGTCACCAGGATATCTGTGAGAGGATCAATCTTTCTTCCACAAACTCTCTCGTACACTTGAGACAAGGCTTTCACTAGTGACGGATGTCCCTGTTCAAAGCAAACAAATGCAACTGATTGGTGTGTTACTGACAATGCACAATGCTATGTTTGGTGGTGTTTCCACATATATCAAAATAATACATTTTGAAATAGAAAAATATGAGATGAGCACTCAGTGTTAATGGCTGTTAATAGGTAGCATGGTTTAAAGTTTTTGCACATTAGGTAAGAAAAGTGGTTTCAATTTATTCATATCTACTAGGAAATTCTTTTTGTATATCTGATGCTTTTTAATTTCTATCTTATTATCACATCTCAGGATAGCTCCAGGTAGCCTGTAGACAGTTAGGACAAGAGACAGGAGGAGAGAATGAAATACTCTGACACCAATTCATCCTGTCCTCCTGTGGTGGGTTTGCCCTTGGCTGGGGGCCAAACCACACACCCACTCATGCAATTCCACTCCCCACCCGATGAGAGGGGAGAGAATTAAAGGGGTAAA